CAGAAGCAGGAGCAAAAGCCAGCGCTTGAGCAAGAGCCAGAGCAAGAGCACGGCCCCTGAAAAGCTGCAGTCGAGATAAAGTACCCCCTAAGAATCAAAACAAGCTTTCCGAGTTATTATTGGAGGGGAGGGGAGGCGGGCCCCCGNNCCCCCCCCCCCCCCCCCCATTTCATATTAGGTGTCAGAGATGATTGCAGCTTTTCATAACCACCGCAACTCTCCCAATCCTTCCCCCGGAGCTTGAAAGTCCTCGGCCAGACTCCGAGTTCTGGACCGGGGCTTGCGACTGGAAAGGAAGAGGAGATCCGGTGCCTGCTTTGGGCCCCGCTTTCGATGCTAAGTTGCCTCTTGTCTTCACGGATGCATAATCAATTATGGTATAGGGTTCGTCTACGAGCAAAGTGCGTACATCAGAATTAATATAGGGTTTAGTTCGGGTTGCATTAGATTGAGGGCCTCTGGGCCACAAACACGCTGAGGCTTCTTGATCTTCTTGTGACAAGCCGCTGCGCGCGCGGATGCGGGCCACAATGGTACTGACGGAGCTCTGCTGGGCGAGTTCGCAAGCCTGCTGTCCTGCCAGACTCCGAACACGAGACACTGACAGAACGGAGCGCAGACTATTGCTAATGCGAGGCAACAGTCGCAACTAATCGCGACTGCTGCGCGCACACACATGCACATCCAAACAGTGTCGGCATTCTCAGCATTACAAGGTGCTTCTTGTGCTCACCGACTGTTGATGCTTCTTGTGCATGGTTGCTAGATCAAGGGAAGGCCGACCGTGGGAGGGGTGTGGAACTCGGAGCAGTGGAGGCCTGGCTGCTGCATGCTGACAGTTGCACGGAGAGGAAGACCAAAATACTAAGGGCAACTCTACGGCCGTGGGCCCAAATGGCTGCACAAGGACTCATGCAAGGGATCAAACCATGCAACATCCTAAGAAGTATCGCCATATATCACAAGTCGTACTGGCTACTGGTACCATATGCAAGCTCAAGCATCGCAGGGTTTAGGTAGAATGAACTTCAGCTGCAAGATGAGTTTTAGTTCATATCCTCTGCTGACACAAGATACTGCGTTTTTCGTATATCTGCCCAGCTTTGCCAGAAGGCTAAGTGGGTGGTTGTCAGAATTATGGTCCCTTTTTGGGTGCTTATTATAATACGCACCTATTATTTAGGGTACCCCAAAAGGGACCATAATTTTGACAACCACCCAAGTTACGCATTTCAGCTTCTGTGATCCGATGCCCAAAGTGGCTGGTGAGCTGCTTCGGCCTCGAGTCGGATCTCGGCCTCAAGACTCCCAGCCACTCCCAGAGAGCCCAATATCCCTTAATTAAGGTTTAGGGTTTAGGGTTTAGGGTTTAGGGCTCCCAGCCACTCCCAGAGAGCCCAATATCCCTTAATTAACGAATATAGCTTATATCATAATATGAAGTCCCTTATAATTTAGGGTATATTCCTTAATTAAGGGGTATTGGGCTCTCTGGGCTCTGCATGGCGCAGCTTAGCGCAGCTCTGCAGCAGCCTGTACAAAACTGCGCTGCAGCTCGAGACCAGCTTGCCTTTGGCCCCTGTACTTTGGCAGCAAGCCGAGACTGTACAAATCTACACAAGTCTGAGCCACGCCGCACTCACTTGCATCTTAAGTGGCGCTCCGCGGACTTCAAACGCCGAGCCCCGAGAGTGCAGCCGGCATATTGCACGTCTGGACCTGGAGCTCGCAGAGTTCAGCGAAAGGGGAGCAACGAAAGCGCCGAGTTCCGGACGCAACCCTGCCAGGAGCTGCTGTACGGTCGGACCTTCTTCTTGCCGCCTGCGATGAGCCTGCAGCTGCAGCTGAGCCGCTGAAGGCACACCCAGGTGGGGCCCTGAGACGCTGCCCTCCGCCGGATTTCGGTGCTAATTGTGGCTCCAAGTGACGAGATGCTTTAGCTGCAGTGTAACCTAGTGACCTGGTATAGGATAGGGATAGTTAGGCCATGCCTACGATGTGCTCCTGTTTCTGGCTCCCTTACACTCTTACCTTCGCTGCCTCGCAGGAAGCATGCACACCACGTTGTGCATCGCTCCGACCTGAGTCCAAAATACTCCGACCAAGGAGAAAGGAGGAGCAAGGAGACCAGGACAGGAGCTTACCTATAGTCTCCATTGTAGTTCCTTTTTTGGTTTAACCAGTTATATATATATATATATATTAAGGATTCTATAAGGTATCCCCAAAAAGGAACTACAATGGAGACTATAGGTACTTGCAAATGTTCTGTCTGGCATCTTGCATCACGATCGGCTACGATTACGCGGACCGCCGACCTTTCTGCGCATCCATGACTGCACAATCTTTCTTACACAGTTCCTGCCTTCCTGCCAGCCTTCGTCCCGTGAAGATGATACATGCAGCGAAACAGGATAGTGAAATGTTGAAATTCATCAACTTTGACACACATGTTTCTCCATGGGCCCCAAATATTTTTCGTGCGACTGCGCGCGCAGATGGGGGGAAACTCGACATGCCGGTGTCGTTATGTTGGGAACCCTGCTTTGCGATGGCATTTGGTGGCACCCTCCTTGTTAAGTTTGACCTTCGAGCGCCTGGAGCCCTTCTTGTTGGCGTTGACTTCTGCCGCTTGGAGCAACAATCCACCTAAGCCTTTACATTGGTGCGACCGGTCCACTTTGCAGTTTGCAGTGGGCTATCTTCAGCTCGTCCTAGGAAAAGGAGTCATACACGTGGCACGTATCCCACAACGGTGTTGGTGCTCCCAGACACCGCAGCCCACGTACACTGAGACTTGAAGTTGCCATACCAGGGATGTGCCGTGTGCAAGTGAGCATGCTCCACTCGAAATTCCTTCTCAGAACGTCGCGGGAAGCGCTTTGCGCAACAATGCACAAAGGCACAGACACAGACAATCCTCCTCCGCGCCCTGGCCATCCCACTCCCATTTGCTTTGGGCAGGAATCGTCTGGGGAGTCAGGCGCTTTCCTCTTTCGCGTGGTGTTGAGAATCTCGGATAATCTCGGGCTGGGAGTCGGGTAACATGGAGCGTGGGCAAAGGCCTTCGGTCGAAACCACATCAGGAGACGCTCCGTGCTCGATAAACAGGCGATTGACACGAATAATGTCGCCATCTCGTTTATGTAATCAGGAAATTTATCGAACAAAAAACTTACCCGTTCCAGGTTGTCCCTCGAGGCAGCATAGAACAAAGGGGTCTGCTGGGTTTTTGTTCATCTCTACAAGGTCGATTCCCATCCCGCCGATCCTTGCCAAGTACTCGGACCCGCGACGGGTTCGGGCTGCTGCAAAACCGGAAAGTTCTGGTCCAGGGAGGAGTGTCGCCAATCTATATTGGCACCCATCAACATTTTCTTGGCCTCAGAGAACAATCCATCTCTGACTTTGAAAAACAATCCATCGCGATTCACGGGTTTCATGTCCAATGTGAACCTGTCTTGAGCCCGAGCTTCAATCTGAAGTTGCCCACGACCTTCTGAAGCACCTCCCTTCCAAATCAACCCGTCCAAGCCTGACTGTGAGCCTTTGCGAAGGCATGTTCAAGCGGCAAGATGTGGCAAGCAGATCAGATTCTGCCCTTGTCTGATTATCGGCCGTGGATAGTTGCGAAAACGGAACTACATGTGCATGAGCAGGCTAAGATTTACTCAATCAAGCGGCACAAACCCCGGTGTATCCTCGCATGGCCGTGTGCACCGCGTCGTTGGCCAAGCGAACGCAGTAGATGTGATCGTTCGGAGTGATGGGCACTGATCGAATTATGTACGAGGGGTCAATGTAGAAGGTGCGGCCCCCAGAAGCTTTCCTGTCAAGTCAAATTCAAGGCAACTTGGGTACCGCTTAGGAAGCACAAGTGTTTTGAGGACAGTCGTGCCACAGTATCCACCTCGACTGCACGACTGAATCAATGCTACTCGGAGCCCTGGGTTCAAAGTAAATGCAACTTGGCGTCAAATGCTTGTTGAGGGTGTCCTTCAGGAATACACCGATGTCGCCATAGACCGTGTGCCCAGTGTCGTCTTGCTTCCCAGTGGATACAAGCTCTTGCCCGGCACCCTCTGCGACTGCAATCACCATGTACTTCTTCTTGGCCAGAGTCGCATCGACATGCTCGATGACATCTTTCATATCCACCTTCACCTCCGGGATCATGCAAAGGTCCACGACATCTGCGGCAGTGGCTGCGTGCATGGCGACGAAGCCAGAATCTCGACCCATGAGCTTGACAATCCCCACACCTGAGGACGATGTTTGTGGCTCGGCTCCTTGCCGGGGTTCGTCCCCCTCTGTCTGGGCTTGTCTCACGATGCTCTTACAAGACTCGGTAGCAGCTGCAATCGTTTGGGCTGTAGAATCTGTGGAAGCAGTTGCCATTCATGACTATGTGTAACATATATATATATATATGTATATATATATAGTACACAGAACGACGTACGACAACAAGTACAACTACTTTACTCTCTCATTCCATCACGAGCAACGAGTACAATAGCACAGACGAAGTATACACAGGCCGATACGGGTCAGTTCTTGAGGTTTTGCTTCCTGCGCTCCGGTCGTACCTCGGTCGCAGCTGCTGGCTTCCACCAAGGCATTCCGGATCACTTCTGATGCCTCAAAGAGCTCAGAGGTTGCGGCATAGGCTTACCTACCTTACAAGTACCTTGCTGCAGGGCAACCGTCTTACACGGGGGTTTCCGAAAATAGGGGACCCTAATATAGCACCCTAAATAGTAGGATCCTTATCATAAGGACCCCAAATAAGGTACCCTAATTTTCGGAAACTCCCACATGGGGTCCGTATGAAGACCCTGTAGAATCAGGTAGGTGCTCGTTAAGGCCGAGAGCAGGGCCGATTACATTTCAAAGCTACGGAATAAGGGGCCTTCCGAAAATAGGGGACCCTAATATAGTAGCCCTAAATAGTATAGGATCCTTATTATAATAAAGGACCCCAAAATTAAGGCACCCCCTTATTTTGGGAAACTCCCACATCTCTGGGAGTCTTGGTCACAAAGCGAGGGCTCTACTGACGGAGGTTCTATGGGCAGACGCCTTGGCAACCGCGGTGTCGAATCCGAAGGTCCGGTCAAAGAGCAGCACATCCTGATGCCACTTGGGACTTGTCCGGTGTTGAAGTCTGTTCGTTCCTTATCTGCGAGGGCTTTGTGGAGTTGTTCTGAAGTAGTGTTCAAAGCTCTCGGTACTCAGTAGGAGGCTGCTGCAGCAAGCGGCGGCCGGACAGGGCCAACCAGCAGACCCCAAGCAATGCACTGTCTGTGAAGCAGTCAGGGAACACCCGTAGTGATCATCACGAGGTGAACTTGAAACCCATTTTTGCAAACACTACGCGAATGCACAGTCGACCCTAGGCGAGGCCCCAAACAACATGTGACTGCCCTCGAACTGTTTTGTTCGACTGCTCTTTTGAGTAGTAGTAGTAGTAGTAGT